CTCCTATAGCACAAGCAGCCTGGTGCTTTTCAGCCTGCAGTTCATTTGTAGAGCCAAAGACTTAGGAAGCTCCCAAACTTCCACAGATTATCTGAGTTTGCTGTTGTGATCTTTGACTTCTCTGTTTCTCTCATAAACACGCCATAAATCACCAGCTTGGATGAAGACTGACCCCTTCCTCTAGCTTATGCTACTCTATTCAGCGTGCTTGGAGAGCCTTGACCATAGCAACTCCATTCTCCTTTCATATTGTACGGATGTCTAGGAAATAGGGGAAGGAGTGGACAGGATGAGCGTTCCAGTAGGTGGTATTGTAGTGCTGGTTTCACAGCTAAAAACTAGAAACATTCCATAAAGCGAGAGAAAATTTTGCTCCTTTACATTTTTAAAAACACACACACACACACAAAAAAGTCTGTGGAAACTCTTTAAACATTCTTAATGCAAAACAAAGGCTGTATTACAGAGCCGTAAGAGTGGTGATCCCTTCACCTCAGAATGAGATTACATCTTCAGAAATAAATTTGCGGCATAAAATTGTTGGGGTGAGTCTCGGCTACTGCACAGCTTTCACAGGTGGTTCACGTGAATGAGCAGAAACCCCCACCACACACACATACAGTTTTCTCTGCTTTACCTCCTCCCAGACTTGCCTTCCAGACTCCTGATGGCTAAGAAACCTTTTGACGAGAACAGGAGAAAATTGTTTTTCTGTGCTTATAAGATCAGTTACCACTGAAGTCTGGAGAACACCCAAACTACTCCCACGCCTGAATTTGATTTGCTCTGCAAATTAATTTAGTGCTTAACAATCTGACAGGCAATACAAGCCAATGACAAGCAATATGCCAAGTCAGAGCCAAATCCCACAAGGGGCTGAGCAATCCCAAATTCCACTCTTAGAAGCAGCACTCCAAGTACAGATGACTGCAGAGGTCCTTGCTAGCTCACAGCCAGGGGATCTCTCGGCCACTGCATCAAGGCAGTGTTTGATGTCAAGGTGTATCTACACGAGCAAGCCCTACACTAGAGTGCCACATATATACCAGACTTATATCTTCATAGGAATAAGCAATGCAGTTACAACGGCCGAGTTGCCATCCTGCATGCCTCTTTCTTTACTCCATTCGGATCCGCATATCCATATGAAAGACCAATACAGCTTGCACAACCTTAATATGACAGGGATGATACTGCCCTTTTTAAAGCAGGATTTGTACTTTTTAACCCAATGAAATGATCTTACCAAGATAAGTAACCTCAGCTATCTTCTACTAAAGAGAACAGTGAACCCCCACCTCTCTGCATCACCACTGTTTCCTTCTGGGAGGAGCAGTCAAAGTCTCTGTAACTGGGTGAAATTCCTCTCTGCAGACTTCAGCCCGGGCCATGCTGCCTTTCGCTGCTTAACACAACGCTGTCTGCTTTAAAGCCTGATGTGGTAGGGCGAAGCAGACCCAGGAAGGGGAATGCAATGCTACAATAGAGCAAACTTAAGGGACTGGGACTAAAAAGGATAAACTGTCTCAGTCTTGAGAGGCTTCCAATTCGATTTTCAGAGATATGTTTGTAGCTTTTAATGGAGATATTCAACCAGCAGCAATTTTGAAAAAATTATGCTTCGTATAAAGAATGACTTCTGCGTGGCTTTGAGCCTCTAGAAGTCAGATGAGAATTAATAAGAAGGAAGAAGAGGTTTTAGCGTAGTAATAATAAAGGAGGTGCCACATAATAAATAAGAAAGAGCTAGAAGACAGACAAGAGTCTGGGAGAGAAAAAGGCAGAAAAGAAAGAAGTGTAATAAAGTCAAACAAAATATTTGTAAATAAGCACATTTCATAATAAAAGGGATGAAAATACTTCTGAACAAACAGTTTCTTTCTTCAGCCACATACTTCATCCAGAAAGAGAAAACCTGCCTGATTTTGACTGTTATGCAGTGGTACAAATTGCAGGCTTTTTCTGCAAGGCTACACCTATTACATGTAGCAAGAAGCATTATGCCATTAAGAAAATACTAACAGAATAAAAATATTACACAGATCTCCTCAATTTCTGGTCCTACCAGGGAGAATGCAGATTAAACCCATTACCCCACTAAAAACAGACCAACTAGGAAAGCTCATTTTCAGGTAGCGTGAGGTCAGCTACCACTGCCTTACTTGCTATATACAGGTGCACACAAACACACACACACACACATATAGATATATACATACATACACACACACACCGGTGCTTCCTTCCTGAGGTCTGTTTTTGCAAGGGGTTACTTAGGGAACAAGCCAGATGTGCCCAGAGTGCCAAGCTCAGTCAGAATTTAGAAATAAACAGTGTTCCCGTAAGAGACAGCAGAATACTGCGTTACAGGGCTGTCCTACGAAGCGGGCACAGGCTGTAACTGACGGAGACATTAGTTTTCTCAGTAAAATTTTGGTGTATAATATAAGCACAGCAGTGGATTGCAGAATTAGTGCCACTTGTTTACATCACTGACATCGCATAATTTATGGATGACTGAAACACTTATTTTCCAGAAAAAATAAATTAAAAAAGCTTGGAAGAATACACTGTAATTTACAGTGAAAGGTACTGTTTACATTCAGACAGAAAAACACCTATCCTCCTTTCCAACTACAAAACAATTCTTTTCATTCAATATTCAGCGTTGTGTTAAGAATCTTGCCTTGAGACTGTGATGTTTTGCTATCAAGATGAATGGCCCTCCCTGTCCAGGCTTTTATCACCAGATTGATGCTTATCCATGGGATTCCTGGCCACAAGCAGCATAAAATTCTCCCCCTGTTACAGCCTTATCTTTTGCCCCATCAATTTGCCTGTGTAATAGCCCTCTCAGTACCTATAGCAGTTCTAGGGTGTATATACCACTACAAAACCCAGTACTTCAGAAAGGATCTTTCATTTTCTGCACCACCAGTGCCTTATTACCGGTGGCCTGTGTGATAATGAATGAGGTGTGCCAGAATCTTATGTTCATAGGCAAGACTATGACCAACACAGACCAAGTCTCCACTCAAATCACTCGTGTTGCCAGTGAGCAGTCAGCCTTGCCCGAGGGACTCTGTCACGAGGGCTACTATAGCAGTTCATAGTCATTCATTCACTACCACCAAAGAAAATAACAGAAAGAGAACACAGGAAAATGAAGTGCAAGAGGAATAAATAGCCTGACACTGTGGCCATCTGGACAAGAGTTATGTTTATCCATGGTGATGTCCCTGACACAAGATGAACCTCTTTGCTCATGTGAGGGCTCTCAGCATGAGCTCTTTCCCAGTTCATCATCTTCAGTTCTCTCAGCTCTTCCTTCCTTGGGCAGCACATTTATGCTTGTGTTCATAAAGGTGTTCCCCGAGTTCTCAGCTATTGATCTATCAATCAATATTTCCAAGTTGCTTTGCAAATAACTCCCATTTCAAAAATGATTCACCTTTCTTAATGTTGGAAAAAGTTTAATTCAGGATTTGTATACATTTGATTTGGTGCTCTTTTCCTTCTCTTCCTTATATTTGCTTTATTTCCAGTTTGCTAAAATTGTAGCAAGTGACTATAAATAAAATAATTTTCATTACAGTTCTAATTTTTAATCGGACCCTGGGCAATTTTGGCTGCATTAACACTTACATGAATTAACCTTTTTGATTTCTAGATACTGCAAGCAGGACACAGAAGGCATACAAAAGCTTGGCAGAGAGCGGCAGGATAGGAAAAGTAAATTTGACTTTTTAAAGTAGTATTGCTCTGTTTTATATTGAATGAGAAAAAATGTGCTCATTATTCCAGGTCCAAAAGGGACCCGCTTACAAGTAATAGCACCATTCTGCCTTGAAATGAAAAGGCCCTCCTGAGAGTCTCTGGGATTAATATACTCTGGGAATAACAGGACTGCAAAAAGGTCACTGAAGAAAGAATTAGGGGTTCAGTGGTTCTGTCCTTATGTAAGCTTAGGCCATAATCCTGTTACACACGCAGTAAGAAGAGGAGCAGCTGTTGCAGGGCTTCAGAAGTATCCACAAAAATAAAGCAGACTGGCTTCTAAATGGACAATAATTCCCACATGGGAAAGATGCATTAAAAATGAAAACACGCACCCAAAAATCCTGGGCATATCTGGAGCACAGCTAGAATGCCGACATTTAATTTCACTGAATGGAACAGTGAAAACCCCGCTACAACTGAACTGAAAAAAGAAATGAAATTTCAAGTACAGTGCAGTAAAGGAGTGTCTCAGTCATAAAGTCCCAGCCCTACAGTGTAATCCCCTGGAATAAAGACAGTGGAACGGATTTCCATGGGGTTCATGGAGAGTTCTTCAAGCAGTTGGGGACCGCCGGGATAGATTTCCTAATGTATGGAAATAATGGAGGCAATACATAATTAGCAATACTTTCTAAAGCAGCTGAGGTTGTTAGAAAAATAATTCAGCGTAAATATTAAGAGTCATAGAGTAAATGTGATTTCATATGCTGAATATGAACTGGAAATGTATGCTATATGGACAGTTTTGGAGCAGTTGCTTTAATGTCACTTTTCCTCTCCCCTCAGTTATTTTACCAAGTGAAAGGAGATATGTGTTTGAAGATAATTGAAAATGGGAACCACAGAGACATTTTCATCCGAGAAGGGGAGGTAAACAGGGTTGTTTTTCTGTTACTGTTGTCGTAGGAATGTTAAAGGAGTGTTCTATGAATTAATTCAAAATCAGTTTCCTCACTGCTGTGGGAGAAATGGTATCAGGATAAAAAACAATGGAGTCATGAATTCAGTACAGCAAATTCCATGTCACTAAGAGCAAACTACCATTCAGCATTTCAGTGACTGAGCATCCCAACTTCTGAAGCCACCTTACAAAAAACGGTAAGGTAAATACTTGGTAAATACTTACTACCATCAGCACTCCATTAAATAAACTGCTTAGAACTTAGAAAATTTAAAGGTTTTGTAGCTATTTCAATCACCTTGTTTTGTCCTCACAGCTACCCTCACGAGAATTGTTTAAAACAACAGTTTATGCAAAAACGTATCCTGCTGTATTGAGCCTAGTACTTAAAACAGTTTTTTCCTATATGGGAAGACTTCCTAGAGCATATATTTCAATGCTACTAACGAGAGCCTCGCTAGACATTTCATTTGATTGCAAGTAGTTACTACAAGATATTAGATATGCTACTGCCAGCACTCGTTATTGCTGTCACTGGCTTGAACTGCCTTCAGCCTCCAGACGGATGAAGCCTGAGCTGTAATGAGGATGGCTTTTACACGGGCAGACATACACGAGACTGAGTAGCTTGGTGCCGCCAAAAGAACCGTATGACCTTTTCAATGAGGAAAAAAAAAACCCAACATTTCAAACCAAAAAACACTGAAATTCTGCTAATACCCTTCACGCTTCAGAAGTGCATCCATGTGAGAGCTGGGCTCGGACCACAGGCATTGATGAAAGGGAACACACAGTGTCCTTGGTGGGAGGGCTGGCAATAGTTGTAGTGAGGCACGTTACCCAGGGCTCGCCACGCTGGAGGGACATGCATGGGCAACTGGTTTAGAAATCCTGAGCTGGCAACAAACTTGCTGTTAATTTCTGTTAGTCAGAAATGCCAGTAAATTTCTAGATTCCAGGTAGAATAACTGGATTTTACTCATGTCTGGCAATGATGGTGAAACTCTGAGGGGTGCCCTCGCTGCTTCAGAATCAAAGCCAATAGCTAAATCAATGACTAGCATTTGCACAGCACCAGTCCAAGAGCTAGAAACAGCATCCAGGACCAACAGGGGCACAGTCAGGCAGGAGCAGCAAACACAGAATTAACAAGGAGGAGGGAAAACGTGGAGGCTTCTGCAGAGGATTTGGCAGGGAGGAAGGGCAAAGAAACAACCCAATGATCAGTGACCATCTAACACAAGCTCCTCCTCGTTTTTTTGTCTGGACAGATGTTTCTCCTTCCCGCTAGGATCCCTCATTCTCCTCAGCGATATGCAAACACCGTGGGCCTTGTGATTGAGAGGGAAAGATTAAAGACAGAAATTGATGGGCTCAGGTGAGGTACAGAAGTCTTGGCTAGTCCATCAGGATTCATAATTTCTGTACAATACTATATTTTATTTTCCTGATCGTTAATCAGATTTGTGCCACCAATTCTACAGTAATTTTGTCTGCAAGGTGTAACTTACCTATATGCACATAAACAGCTCATTTAGCATTTGGTTTAGTCACACAAGGAACATGCTGATACGTATGCTGTGATCATAGCTGTGTACCTATGTGCTGCCTACTACTACCACCTCAAAATTTTCAATCCTGGAGTCTGCAACAATACAAATCAAAAATATTCTGGCAAACAGAACATTGATTTCTGCTAAGTACTAAAAACAAAAAGGTGAAGAAGAGCTTTCTTAACAAGTACATAGAACTTTAAAAATAAAACTCAATTTTCTTAACACTAACCCCTCTACACTGTATGCACTTCTGCCTAGCTTTTATTGCCTTCTGAGAATGAGCTCCTCAAACAAATATTTTAGTGGGAGCAAAACTCAGCCTTATTCTGTGTGTGGCCACACAGAATTTTTAAACCTAAGAAGGCAAGTCATAGCAATGACAACTGAATTAGAAAAGCTCTGTTGGTATTACCTACCTATCATGTTATCTATAGAGGCTTAAAGTCACAATTTATTCAATTTATTTCCAGTATAGCACTTTTTTTTTGTCTACAGTTTTGATCTATGCATGGGACATGTCACAGCAGACAGACCATAAATATGCAGAGCTAGAAAAAATGTTTTTATATTCAAAGAGTCAAAGAAATGAGAAACTAAGAAAGGGACCATTCAAAAGATCACCTGCATTTCAGAAAGTCACTGCTAGCCAGTTGCAGCGAAGACCACTTCATTATTCCATTATTTATCATGCCTGTCATGCCCTAAAACAGTCCCCAAAATGCCAATTATGGTACAAGTGACAGCTAAAGAGCCTGCTTCAAAGAGTTTCCATAATTACATGCTTCATATGTAAAAACATATATAGGTCATAAAAAATGCACTAAGTGATACTAGCTCAAAACTATCTGTTTAGATTTTACTTTTGTGATTGGATTCTTTAGTGTAAAGCCCTCCTAAAGCATCTCCCCAGCTGAGACATTTATAACACTTCTGTAGATTCTCTGGTGCTCAAAATTTGTGCTCACATTGCAGGCTCTTCCATGCTGGAAGCAGTCATTCTTCCACCTAACCAGCCTTTTTTTGTAAACTTGAGGAACCGGGCAGATCATAAAAAGTTTCTAGACAATATTGATACAGATACACAAGACAAATGTGAATACAT